TACGAGGGGGGGAAATACTGCATTGCTCGACAGGCGGACCATGTGGAGTCATGACTTTTGCTATACCGCCGTCTCCTGGGGAGCCAGGGGTACGAGCACCTCCTCGACACCCATGGGAAGGGAGTTTCACGACATCTGTTGTGGTGATCCCCCCCCCCAACCCTCGCCGCTGCCTCCACAGTGCTGGATTACAGGCAGCCACGTGCGTCGTCACCGCCGGCACCCTGCTATGACATGAACACGGGGCAGTGAAAGGTGGTGGCGGAATTTCCCGAAATTCCAATGCGAGGCCCACAAGAGCCCGTGCCAATCACATGGTAAGGGAATTACAGCACAGAAGGGCCCATTTAATCAGCGTGTCAAATATTTGCCCGACTTATTTATGCAGTTTATATTAATTCCGTTAACCATGGAATATTCCAAAACACATTCGCCGCAACCTGATCCAGTCTCATTAACACACTGTATCAGACATTGAAGTTGATCGAATTCCTTGCCAAATGGCTAACATCGGTGTTGAGATATACCCGGTGAGTACCCCCCCCCCCCTCTCCACCTACTCGCACTGACCACTGTGAAGTACGGTTAAACCACGCAGGACCGGCACGGCGCGTGGAGGTCCTCATGCAGCAGTGACGCGACACGAGGTGTACATTGCACGGACATATCAGAGGTTATTTGGGTAATGCAGCTCCGCCGGGCGTCCTTCTTGTCGCATGGCTGCTGATGTAGAGGCAGCGCAACCAACCACAACTTTCACATTGAGGTGGTCAAGCCGGGCAAACCGCGTCGGGAGTAGCGGAGTGTCATCATCGCTGCGATGCCTCCTTCGCATTTGTGGATCGGGGCATTGCGTCGGTATAGCTTGTACGCTCGGCTCTGGATGACCACAGTCGCACACGACTGGGGCGTTTTAAATTTATTTTCCTTTTGTGCATCGGGTATCGGCATCTACTGCCATGGTTTGTGCGGATGGTAATATCAAACCCAGGGATCTTCTGCGTCGGGTCTTTCACGAGGCGGTGTTTGTTTGCGAGTACTTTTGAACTTACATTCAGCTCCCCAAGCTTCATCGGGGTTGAACTCGCGTTCTAGAAGGTTCTGCCTGGACCGACCAAGATTTACCAAAGCAGACACACACACACACAGGTGTGCATTGCAAGGTGCAAAAGCTCGCAGGCCTCATCCAAACCAAAAGCTCAAATGGAACTGAATGTGTGGCCCGGACTGGCGTTCAGAACCGCCGACAGCTGAAATAGTTGCGAAAATGTGGCCATCCAAACAGACGGCAGCAAGGCGAAGACAACTGTAGACCTGTTTCATCCTCACCGTTTCATCCTCGCTAGGACTCGTCAGTACAGTACAGTCATCGATGCTGCACACCTGTCAACCCCTTATCAGTGCCCACCTTATTATTGACCAATAATTCAGATCTCATTGGTCACTCCGTGTCCCTTATAAATCTCAACGTTCATCCTACAACGTTCCATCACAAGGGGGAGACACAAACAAAGACAACAAAAACATGTCCGTGTTGAAACGTCTGTACGCCGTATGGACCTGAAAACTCTATTTACCTGTACAAGAATATGGGTAAACCGGATGGGTTGACAGGTATGACGCTCGCTGCTGCTATAAGCATCTGGGAGTCCCATATGTGTGGAGGGCTTTTAACCTATTGCCTGATGGAAACGCAATGCAAATCACAAGAGAAGACTTAGGGGACGTCCATAAATGACGTCACGCGATTTGACGATTTTTGACCCCCCCTCAAATATGACGTCACAAAGCTCTCGCCCCGCCCCCCCCCCAAATAAAAAATGCTTTAAATCGCTTTAAACTATTGTCATTGTAGTGCGTATTTAATGTGGCGCTGCACTCTGATGTTGTAGGAGAAAACATTTATTAAAAAGTATATTTAATTAAGTAGAACGTGTTGTCTATATTTATTTAAAGTTGCGCATTTTGATGTGACGTCACATTTCTCAACCCCCCCCTTGTCACACATCGTCACAAATGTCTGACCCCCCCCCCCCCCAGGTATGTGACGTCATTTATGGACGGGCCCCATATGTGCAGGCCTTAAAATAAAGTCAAAGAACAGTCCTCGTTCAAATTAATCATACGTACATACATTAAAAGAGGGCACCCTACCGTGTATAGCAGGTTCGCCCTCATTGGGAGATCATTAAAGCACTACAGCTCTGCTTAGAAACTTAACCAGCTTCACAGTTATCAGGAATCATCGGCACAGTACGGCCTTGGTAAACTTCCGAGGCTACGCTGCGGGCAGCTTCACCGATAATATCGGGGACCGTCAGTGCCAGTGCAGCCACGCGCCGAAGCTGTTCACTTAATTGTCGTGGTTCGTCTTCAATTGCCTTCGTCAAGCTCAAAGTTGATTTTGTTGAAGCAGGCGAGTGCTCAAAGGAGGCCAGGATAAAGTCTCCTTTGCAAGCCTGACCCCGAGGTCACCCACGAGGAGACGAAAGCAAAGAACAAAACCAAGTACAGCTACGAAGTATGCAGCAAAAATCGTAATAAAAAATGGGCACTGCATCAACGTTACAAAGGCTCAAATATTAAATTCCCCGCAGAGCCAAAAATCAGCTCGGGCCGACGCACTTCACAATAAACTAGCCACTTTGGCAACTCGGGTCACTCGCACGTGGGGCTTTTGTTGCTCCTGGGTCTATCCGAGTTCCCACCTGGTTAAACAATAACCTTGGAAATTAAACGTGTTAACCCCCGAAGCCACCCACAATGTCATCCCGTGGAAAAGCAAACTTTGAACTCAGTCATTGTTAGATAACGTGCAAATAAAACCAAGGTTCAGGTTTAATAAAAAGTGGCTCACAAGCAGCGGCAAGTTGGTTTTATGATTAATTTTATTCAGTATAATAATAAAATAACCCACCAACAATGCATTAAAATCGGAAAAGTTTTCACTTTGAACAACACTGCGGTAAAGATCCAGATTTAGTGCAAACAAAAAGAAAAACATAGCGCCACATTATTTGGCTAAAAAGACTCCGCTTCGATGATTTACAAATACAAACGCAAATATAAAGTGTCTGCAAGTCAATGAAACGAGAGGTTTCTCGTGACCTTTCGGCTCAAACGTAACGCGAATCTCTTTCCATTGTAAGATTCTCCATTAGCAACAACATGCGAATACAGGCGGGCCAAGCCTTCGCGTAGGCCATATTTTATCACTCACAGCATGGTCGGGCAACATTATTGCCACGCTATATGGGAATGTGTTAGAGACATCTGTTGGTGATATAAAATCAAGGTCAATTTCTGGATTTTGCCAACAACTTTAGCTGCAAAGGTCATCATCCACCACCTCTCAACACCAGAGGTCAATTTCGAATCGCCTTCCACGATATTACGCCGATAGGGGTCTCTGGTAACTTTAATATTTAACGATATATTGTACTATTCTCTACTTGCAATACAAATGCAGATTACTTATAGCTGTAGTTCATTCGTATTGTTCAACGTATATGAATACATCATCTAAAGTATTGTCATAATTTCTATTTATCGAACCAATAATGCTCATCAGGTACATGGCTCCCTGGCTCATGCTAGACCAGTGCCCTTGATTGCAAGGCCCGCGGGCCACTGGCGGCCCCTGGTGCCGCTCCCGACATTCCGGCGTGAAAATGCCCCTTGTAGGCGGTGTGGCAGGTCCTCACAATGACGTCCCGTCATCGAAAGTGCCCCCCCCCCCCCTTCTGAAAATCAGTGAAGAACACTGCGCTGGAAAGTTAAATCATTGCGCGGACAATTGCAATGATGGAGGTCCAGACGATAACTATCAAAGGCTGTCAATTATTTCCGGAAAACATTTTGCACTCGCATCATGGGCCTCGCGATAAATTGCTTTCCACACAGCAATGCTGGCAGAGGAAGTTCTAATAGCCCGCCAGAGTATACTTTGACCTACTCTTAGGCACAATTCAAATGGGTAACAGCAGTTTGTTAGCAACTACACCGATACCACCCACCTTCGTCAATTCATAAATATTTTGTCGTAAACGCGCACACGGTCGATGACGTTTTTTTGACGAGCAACGATAAACCGTGCCGCGAGGATAATTCGCAAAACGGGTGATACGGTGATCGTGGCACCGCACGATGATGCATCGCAGCATCGCATCGCCGGATTGCGAGAGGTGACGCTGGGGGGGGGGGGGGGGGGGGGGGGGGGGGGGGCCTTCATTCAGCAGCGGTGCAAACGGCCGGAGCAATGACGGATAACAGCAATCCCTCGCCAACCGCGGAATTCACGTACACGCAGTTTATTCTCCGCTGTATAGTAATTTATCAAGAAGGGCGGCCTGGAAATGTTTCAAGATCCACGTGTAAGCAGCAACACGAATTTACAAATTACGCGGCGACGTGGTTCTCCTCCGCGCCGCTGCACCACCCATGCGACACTGCTTCGTAGCTAATCAGCTGTCCGTCTTGTGCCGCTGATCGCCTGCCTCCTCGTCCGCCCACTCCATCGGTCATTGATGAGCCAGAGGAAGAGGGGGAGGGTGGGCTGAGCCCCTCTTTCGTCTAACCACGCCATTCCCCTCCCCCCATCATCATCATCTCATTGTCACGGCTATCGTCATGAACATGAAAAAAAGTATCTAAAGTTAAACCTAATGTTTATGTTTTTGTGCAATGTACTGCGCTTTATTTGACGTTTAGTTCATAGACGGGCAACTCAGTTCAGCTATGACGAACCCCCCACTTCTCACAAGTACTTTTGCCGGCTGCGGCCTTTTCCAGGAACCTAACCCCCGCGGTCGGCGAGGGATTGCCGTACGATAATAACCGCCGCATCGCGACAACCCCGCACGTGGCCTTCTGAGTGTGAGGCGCACACTCCTCTAGCCTAGAGGGGTTTCCAACCTTTCTGGGATCCACGAAAACATTTGCCACACGGCACCACCGATCCAGCGGGCATGTGGGGCTGTCCAGTGCTGGCCACCGCCGGTTTATCCTGAGTTTATCTCAACCATGAGCAGAGCTGCGTGAATAATAAAAACACTTTTAAAAGATGTACGGACACCTACAAATATATCTACACTAGCTTACACACAAAATGCATTTACATCGCCATCTTCGGCTGTTAAAAAATCATAAAATTGATGTAAATGGCAGTAGTAATGATAAAAATACAATTACAAAAGCACTGTCATCAATAAGCCTTCGCATTATTTAAATATCCACTTTCTTAAGACATCAACGCAGTCATACACACCAATCAGTTTGAGATACATTTCCACTGTATAAATATGGTCACGACAAGGCAGAGCTATCAGCCGATAAGCATTTGGCATGTCAAACCATGCACGCCACGGTGGAAGAATATTTAGCGGGCACAGAATTATGGGTAAAAAAAAACCTACAGAGCATACGCCAGAATTTCGCATTGGGATGTCATACAAATTCACGATGGCTCCAACATTTCAAACATGGCGTCATTAACCAGGCACAATGGCTGGGATCGGGTATCTTGGCAGTATTGTCATGACGAATATTAACAAGCGGAAAGCCCTGGCACAAGAGCAGCGCCGGGCGTCACCTGCAATCCTATCGGTGGTTTTAGAAAATAATTCGGAGAATGTTGTTTCTGACTTCGTGAATATTTGTCTGCACCCTTGGAACTAAGTAATCTTTCTTTACATCGGCATCTATATTGATGCATTTTAAAACTAAGACTTTCATTTTAAGACCACGGTTAAAACACTCGTATCGACAACCCAACATTTTCTTTAAAAAATATTTTCTGGGCTTGCGTACAAGATAGTTTTTATTCCCCTTCCATCCGTTTGGGCTGAACTTAAACCTTCCCCTGAAGCCATTTACTAAAATAAAAAAAAAATGCAAAATTTATATATTTAACTCTTGGGAACCGTATGGTAATGTGTTAAAATAGAGTTACACATAATAAACCTGCATTTGGGTTGGGGGGGGGGGCATATATTCACTGTTATTTTTAAGCGATTTGTTTCTTTCCTACACTTTGCAGTCCTGCAGTATTTTTCTTTTGTTTGATGTTGTAAGAATCTGACCCGCCCCTACTGGACATCTGTGAAAAAGAGCTTTAGAGCTCATCGGATTCCTCCAGTATAAATGAATTCCGACACCAAATTTTTTTTTTCCAGACATGCAAAGGAAATACCAAGCAATGGGAATTCCGAGATGTTTCTTGTTTTCAACAAAAACGGCGATAATTTTGTGATGCAGCCACTCCCCAAGGCCGGCGTGGCATAATTGTCCAGCAATAATTGAAAATTTTATTATCACATAACTGGTACCGCTACGGATAACCAGATGCCTGCAGTTAACGTGAATTCTGGTGGCTCAGGTTTTTGGATGTAAAAGCTGCAGATCAGCAACAAGGCTACAATGTACTGATGATCCCTGCCAACAGTGGACATCCACAGAATTTAATCACCACCCTGTTGGTCAGGAGGGCCTTTCAAGGCTAGGGAGCTAAGAATCACGCTGCTGGGCTCACACAATGCTCTTCACAGGGCCTACAAATCTGATCCTGATACGATGGTACCCGTTTTCTTTCCCGACAATACCGTGCAGCTTCAAGCACGTTTCACCTCGAGGTTAACCAACCGATATATTTATATTTCTACTTAATCGCAGACGCAAGCACAGCACGCGCACCCGCATTACGCAAACACCCAACATTGCACACACCCCCCTCTCCGCGACGCGACACCCCACACAACACCGCCTCTTCCTCCTCCTCCTGAAAACCCGAGCGTCTTACACACGGCAACATCGTCAGCACCACCACCCTCCCCCCCCCCCCCCCCCCCCGGCCGCCACTAAGGGCCGCGTGCCGTGGGCACGGCGGCGTCGGCGGTCACCCGCAAGCGCAGGACGGCGCCCACGACGAACAGCGCCAGCCCCAGGAGCAGCATCGCGAACAGCGGCAGCGAGCGGCGCACGCAGGGCCCGCGCGGCTCTCTGCCGCCGCCCCTCCCCGGCTCGTCGTCGTCGTCGTCGCCGCCGTAGCCGCCGCCGCCGCCGTCTCCGCCCGACCCGTAGTCCCCACCGCCGCCGGAGCCCCGCGCCGCCGCGGCCGACAAGCGCGCGCCGCTTCCCTTCCCGGTCCACCTCCCGCCGCCGTCGCCGCGGCGGCAGGCGCTCCCCCACGCCCACGCCCCCGCCGGATCCGGGGGGAAGCCGTCGGGGCCGTCGCCCTGGGGAGCAGAGTCCCCGGCCCCCGACGGCCTTCCGCCCGCGCCGCCCGCGTCTACCGGCAGCACCACGACCAGGTGCGGCGGAGGCGGCGCCGGGGGCTCGGGGGGCAGCACGCACAGCTGCCGGCACAGCGGGCAGCGCAGCGACGGCGGCGGAGGAGGAGGAGGAGGCGGAGGAGGAGGCGGAGGAGGCGGAGGAGGAGGAGGAGGCGGAGGCGGGCGACCCGTGGGCGACGGGGACGCCAGCAGCCGCCGGCTACACCCACGGCAGAGAGCGTGGCCGCACGGCGCGAGCGGCACCGGTCGCAGGCGGCGTCCGAAGGGGTCGAGGCACACCGGGCAGCACGGCCCGTCCGGCAGGAGCTGCTGGGACGCCGACGGTGCGGTTGACGCTGGCGCCGGTGGCAGCAGGGCCTTTAAATGAGGTGCATCCATTTTGTAGGCAAACAACGGCAGCTCAGCTCCTGGAATTGCAAGCGTCAAAAACAGCGGAATATCCATCGGTTTTCACACTGTTGGAATCGAACGCGGCTCATCTCATCGCTGCCGCCTACGAAGTGGTTGTCCCTCTCGAGGTGCGATTGCTACCCCAGCCGTCGAAATAAAACAGGCCAGAGTACGCCTTTTGGTCGAACACCGTTTGAGACGAGGCTCGAAAGAAAGCCGTCTGGTGTGGACCAATCAGTTTCAAGGACACTGCATGTATTATCAGAGTGTGTTTTTTGTTTACATTCTGACCATAAGCAGTGGTTAATGCAGACGTGATTCCTCGTAAAAGGTTTCAGTTTGGTGTTTTAACATCTTAACACCTGTTTTGTTGCCAGATATAAAAGAGGAAAACCTATAATCAAATAAAAAAATGTTAAGTACAGTAGTACCTATCCACTGACAATCCTTTTGAAGAACCAATGTTTACAGTCCGCAGTTGTGTAAGCGGGGAAAACTGTGGACCGTTCGGATGGCTTTTTCTCCTTATCATCAGTGTGTATTTAATGGGCTACACCCTGCTAATGAGACTCCTAAAATCAAAAGCAGTCGAGGGTGTGTCTTGCTTAAAACAAATGCCGATTGAAAACATTGACCCACAATGTCCATTTGGTGATGGACCAAAATCAGAATGTTTACTTAGACTGGAGAAATCTGATAAGCTAATAAAAAAAACCTTTTTTCACGTGTGCCCAGTAGGGACGGGTCAGCAAGTGCCATAAAAAATACAAGAAAAAACGACATAAGCGCAAGAAAGATAAAAGGTAAACAAGTCACTAAAATAATAATAAGGATGAAGTCTAGAAGTACAAATTGCAGAAGTGCATACATTTCTGCCGATTTGTCAAAACCAAAAGCAAGCTTGGGGAAGAAAGGCAGCAAAACAACAACAGTCCCAGACAACACCAAGGAAAGCAACACAGTCAACCGATTACATCGCCACATTAGAATTGAACTAAAATGATCGAACCACCAAGGGAAAATAAATCCTTATTTTTGTTTTACTCCCCCCTCCATTTCTCCCGTGATTTCTTGCAACCTCATTGTTAGAATTTATTTATGTTTACTTCTGACAAGAGCCCAGTACAGAAGGGGGCACCACCATACACTCCTTCGGGCAGAAGCCCAAAAAGGCGGTGCTCACGGGTTGGGAAAGACAACCGGGATTGCTACCCTTCTTGCGTAGGGACTGTGAGAGTGGGAGCAAAGGAGGAAGGGAAGTCAAGGGGGGAAAGGAGCAAAAGTGAGGGGGGAGTTTTGTGAAGTGTACAAAAACAAGGTCTGCCAAATCAAGTAAACAGACAGGCGCCGAGTGAACTTATCATCGATACGAATCCCGCAAGAGCAACACGTACCACGCGCCTAGACGTGGGGCGATCCCTCCAACGCCTGTGACCTGACCTCCCCCTGACCTCCCCCTGACCTCCCCCTGACCTCCCCCTGACCTCCCCCTGACCTCCCCCTGACCTCCCCCTGACCTCCCCCTGACCTCCCCCTGACCTCCCCCTGACCTCCCCCTGACCTCCCCCTGACCTCCCCCTGACCTCCCCCTGACCTCCCCCTGACCTCCCCCTGACCTCCCCCTGACCTCCCCCTGACCTCCCCCTGACCTCCCCCTGACCTCCCCCTGACCTCCCCCTGACCTCCCCCTGACCTCCCCCTGACCTCCCCCTGACCTCCCCCTGACCTCCCCCTGACCTCCCCCTGACCTCCCCCTGACCTCCCCCTGACCTCCCCCTGACCTCCCCCTGACCTCCCCCTGACCTCCCCCTGACCTCCCCCTGACCTCCCCCTGACCTCCCCCTGACCTCCCCCTGACCTCCCCCTGACCTCCCCCTGACCTCCCCCTGACCTCCCCCTGACCTCCCCCTGACCTCCCCCTGACCTCCCCCCCCCATGCGCACCTTCACGCCGGATGCGGTAAGAGTGGGGGACCCCCCATCTGACCTTGAACTCCCACTCTCTGCCCCTGAGCTTATAGCTTAAATGCTCTGTCCCTGCGATTGCTAGGAGGGTTGTGTTATTCTACTGCTTCCAGGAGCATTGTTCGTGACCGTTGTGACATTCGAGGTGGCTGGGTGCCTCAAGAGATCAGAGTGCCGAGATCCTGGGTTTGAATCCATGTATCAGCCGCCTGCGATTGAACCTGTTTGTCACGTGTTGCGAGTGGATGGTCTTAGCCCATTGACAAATATTCCTCTTCGTGTGGGTGATGTTGATGGACTATAATTGTACATTGAGGGGGGGTTGACGAGCCAGATGATTGTGTCAGGAGTAGCGGAGCGGTGCATCGCAGCGATGATGCCCTCGTTTGAATTTGCGAATCGGGCACAGAGTCGTCAAACGTTTCACGGTCTGTTCTGGGTGACAACAATCGCACAGCGCGGCGTTTCTTATTTTGCATTTGCGCATCATCATGAAGTTTACGCATTTGCTGCTGCCATGGTTTGTGCAGATGCGGTTTTAGAGTTGTGGCCCATAAGCTTTGACCGACTGGCAAATCAGTCGGTCAGTGAGTTTTATTTGGCCAAGGCCCATACGGCTATGACTGCACACAAAATAAAGTCACAAGTGACATTTGATTCTGGATAAATTCCAACTCTTTGAGAATTAAAAATATCGGTTTGCCTATCATGCAACAAACGTGAATTTACTCTCAGTGGAAAGGCGCCGCCCCCTGTGTAGAAGAGTGGCAACTTGAAAAATGTTTTCAGACGGTAGCTCTGCGAGAGCCGCTTCAGTGGGCCCTTTCCCAACACGAAGGGTTGCACTGCTCTGCCAGAAATACAAACAGCTACGTCATCTTATGACAATAACACCGATAGCACAAACGCGATAAATCAGGAGACATTAAAAAATATATATACGCAATAATACCCCGGTTTCCATTGGAAGGCATGACGACAAATATTGAAACGACGTAAATCGGGGTATTACACTGTGCGTATAACAATCGCATTTCAGTCTATAATGTTTCGCACCACCTTAACCCATACACGTCATTATTCATTCGGGATTTCAGTGCGTGTGTGTTTCTGACGTTGGCGAGTTTGCGCATTTGTCCATGAACGTTGGGGCGTGTTTGTGTGTGTGTTTGTACTTTTTTTGCTCATGTGTATGCATGCGTGCATGCATGTGCATGCCTGCGCGTGCGCACTTGTAACCACAGCGTGTTGTGACCAGTTTTGTTGGTACAACAACAACAACTGAATGTTAACCTCGAGCTCAACAAAACTGGGGTCAGGTTACATATAAAAGTACAAGGATTAACAGGTCGCACGTTGATTTCCGTGTGCGCGTGTGTAAGATTCAACATCTACAGAGCCGGAAGAGATGGAAAACGTTATTGTAAACACCTTCACGCTTAAAATCCACGACTACGCATTCGAAATGAAACCTTTTCAGAGCACAAAATTGTATCTTCGCACGCACAAACCAGTTAAAACATTGAAATAAATAAAAACGCCCCGAATCTGTTCAGCTGGCCCAAGCGGTTCAATGTTCTGTGGGGCTTTGCACCATGCCACTTGCATCGAAGCCGCTAGTTCCATTCCCATCACAGCTCTGCGGTAACATCTGTAAGGAGATTAACACTGTGTAAACTATAAACTACAGTAAAACCTTGGATTGCGAGTAACTTGGTCTGAGAGTGGTTTTGCAAGACGAGCAAATTTTTTAAATAAATATTAATTTGATAAACGAGCGAGGTCTTGCAATACGAGCAGCACGTGTAGACGCTTTGTCTGCCGAGCGTCACGTGATCACAACTGATATACGAGTGCTTTGGATTACAAACACGTTTCCGGAACGAATTACGCTCGCAATCCAAAGTTTGACTGTATTTTTTATTTTACCAGGCAAGGCCCAACTGAATTATATAGCTTTTTGCAGAAGCAACTTGGCCACAAATGATAGCTGAACTGGAGGATCCGGTAAAAATCCACACGACTACGAGGAGAACATGCAAACTCCAAATATACAGGCGTCAGGGTCGGGATGAAATCCATGAACCTCCTGTATATTCGGCGAGATAGGTAACATCTCGCCAACGTGTTTTGCTCCGAAGAGGATGTTCATATCTGAGTAGCATTATTTGCGTGAACATATGCCTGTCACTGGCCCTCATAATAAAAGTGAAAAATGATCAGAGACTGTGGTTAATGGTCTCTCTCTCATATATCCGCAAGGGCAGCACTGAAACCAAGTGTGTGACCAAGAATTTAAACCTCTAGTTCAAATCCCCGTGAAGAGGAGGGCGGGGTCAACCGAGCCCACCATTCCTCTGGGCTCGGGAAAGTGAGAACCTCACAATCTTCGAAATATCACTGCGGCCTTAAAATTATAATACACGTATAAAAATCGGTGACATTTTAAGTAATGGCCGTTCTTCATAGCGCATCACGTGCCATTGAAGAAGGGCGATTGCCCGAAATGGCCCATTATATATCAATTTTTCTTTTAGGCCACGCACAAAGTGCTCTTGACGAATGTGTCGAATGTTTTGTGCTCGTTGGAAATTGTGCTTATGCAACCACTGCCAAAACAAAACGGTTGCAGCCGCATCACCAAAACAAATCTGTGGCAAGCCGAAAGTGATTGTCCTGTGGAGAGACTGCCCCAAAACCACAGAAATGCGGAATTTCCACAAACGGGACCGCCAACAGCGATAAGCACCACCACCCAGTGCCCGTTTTTGGGAAGATGCGCTCTGCTCCGATACGGAACAAGAGCGCAACACAAGCAAACTCGCCCAGAATGCGCCAGACGTAGGTCAGATCTCAGCAGCTAAACAGGGTTGAGAGCCTGGACAACGCTCGGATGAGCGAGCAGTGCGCAAAACAGGGTGCCGAAGGCTGCGGCGCTACATTGTGTGAAACAGAGGGCAGTGCACAGAGATGCGTCCTTGTACTGCAGTTCTACGGTCCCTGCCTCCACAACTGCGCGCCCACCTGTGTGCGGTGAAACAAAACCGCCGACG